TGTATTGATCCTCTTTTCCCGCCTATATTCCATGACCATTCCTCCCTTACGGCAAGGAGGGTCGTTAACCTCGTCCTGCAAGTGCGGTTGGGTGAGATTAAGTCGGTTCTAGGAAACTGAGTACCGTCGTTCAAAATTAGGCAGCGACCGATATGTGCATGCGTCTATTTCTTGGTCGTTGTTTGTCCTAATGGCGGTATTGCATGCCCTCATTTTACATATAGGTCCATCGGGAGAAATGCTAGTAGCATGGTGAGCACTTTGGTGGATGTTGTCTTTATGGATCCTGATTTCAGTAGAGGCGCCAGTCTTTGAACTTTATCAATTTTCTTAGCGTTAACATTTTTATTGAGAGGACCCCATCAATTCGACCATTGGTGCGATAAAAGTAGTCAGAGACTTGTCCGCTGAAACAATAGCAGGCAAACGCTGCGAGGGAGGAACAGTAAAGTACTCCTTAATAGTTATCCTATACATCAGAAACGCTTTGAATAATGCAAATTGGCAGAAAATCATGACGACCTTAGGAAAATTTTAAACTTTTTGAATATCTCCTTATCTCGTTATGCCGAGTTTCCACTAGGCATTGAAATGAAAAAAAAAAATTGCCACTTAAAAAATGGCACGTGGAAATGAATCGAATGACTATTTTCTTAACGTAATGATACGAATATTTTCTAACGCCCAACTTTGTCATTCGAATTTCTGCCAGTTAATCCCTAGAGGAAATCCAGCATTAGAATAACTGAAAATTACTTTGAAGATCGAATACAATGGGGTTTAAATTATCTTAGCTTAAGTCGGAGGCAGTCCTAGCCACTGGTATCTTGGTGTAATTATTGACGTGAGATTAACGTTCAGGGATCATCTCGAATATGTCTGCAAGGAAGCGATTAAGGTGAGATGTGAAAGAATAACAAAAGAAAACTTTGTTGCAGTCAGTACGCGACAATTTTATGTAACACCTAAAACAAAAAACCTAAAACCAGCAGTGTTTTTCATTAAATTGTAGGGATGCTAAAATAACATCGCAAAACTCCGAGATGCGTAAGCTCAATTTTGAGTCATAGATTTTGGATCTCTATACCATTTTTTTCTAGATGAGGTCGCTTTCCCAAGATATTTTCATTTTAAGTTTGCATTGCCAATGAAGAAAAATTCAAGCTTTAACATGGAAAATATTACTCATACCCCATGTACGAGTATGGCCGTGGTAGATATGGCGTATGAGTAACATTACTATTCCCTGCTTCTACGTATTTCATACAAAAAATTTTTGCACATTCTCATTTGACCATTCAAAACTTGTTTATTGATACATTGATTTTTATCGACAGTAGCTTGATTTTTTGCAAACGACCAGGCTTTTTAATGCAAATGAAAAAAATGCAATAAATATGTTATTTTTTTGTATTTTTTTCTGTTAAAGTTACAATTTATTTTTCATAAAAATTAAAATATCTTGGGTAAATGACATGATTTGGAAGAATGGTTCAGGTACGCAATCTACGATCCAGCCTTAAGTTCACGTGTTTCGGCGTTTTTTTTGTGTCATTTCGAAACTTGAGATTTTCCCTACAATTTTATTACTACATACTGTTCTCTGCCAACAAAAATACAGTAATGCTCCCATTAAGTGTGTACCTTTCACATTGATTACATTTCAGCTAAACAACTACCGAATAGTTGGGGGGCAAAATTGATTACCGCCACTGTTAGCTACTACAGCCGCCACGGCTGTTGGTGCTTCGCGTTACTAGTCTGACATGTGTTCGATCAATCTTTGGTTTTATGTTGGATTAAAAAGTCCATTATCAATTGAGAGCTTTTCAAAACAATTGACAGAAAACAATAAAATCAAGTGAACTGCCCAAAATGTGAAAACGATGTGAAAGTACTTAGATATGTCATGCCCTTTCACTGTTCGCTACCACACCACTACATGCTTCTTCATCGCTCACCCGACGCCATTTTAAAAGCCAAACGGTCGAAAAAAGATCGCATTGGCTGTGTATCAACTGATGGCATGGCAAACTGAATTTGACAAGCGCTTAGCTGCATCAGCGGCACACAAACCCAGTAAAATAACAAGCGAAAGTGCTTTTAACAACAAGTTGTTGGAGTTGGAGTCGAGCAGCTGCACTCGGCCACACAAGCGCCGGAATGCTGTGGCAAAATCAGCGAAATCGAAGGGATAAGCAGCAGCAAGTCGGTCACGTAGGCGCCGCGACAAAAGTTACGTTTCTTTGCTGACTGTTTATTTTTATTAACCAACTTCCAAAAAAAGAGGAGGGGTTTTCAGTTCGTCGGATTTTTTTTTTTTTTTTTTTTTTTTATGTATGTTACCGCATAACTTTGGACCACGTCAACCGATTTCGAAAATTTGGAAAGGTAGTGTCTCAGAGGTGGTCTCATACTAATCTGGTTAAGATCCGATCAGTGGATCATGAGATATATATATATATATATATTTTTTTTATATGAGAGTTGAAGTCGGTTTTTTTTTGCTAAAAATTACTTGTTTTTATTTTTTTTTGTTGCTCATGACGTGTTGTCCTTGCAAATAGCTGTACACTGTACGCATATTATTGTGCTGTTGTTGTTATTGTGAGCGCTTATAATCCCTCGACAAATACGCCTTGTAACGTATCGCTAACGTTTCCAAGCACAAAACAACGGCACTAAATGTCAAATACGTTTGAAAGCGAAGCACATAAATCTGAGGAGAAAAATCACCGCAAACACAAACAACACTATAAAGAAGAACGCACGCTAAAAGAATGTGCGTATGCACAAATCAGCGAGTCAATGCGCAAACGAGTGGTAGTCATGCAACATATTTGAAGGAAAGCTTTCCGTCTAAGCAAAGGGTGGAAGGTTGCAAACAAAAAAAAAACAAGTAAGAGCAGCGCTGTCTTCGGCTATGCCGAAGGCTTCATACCTTTCATGAACATCTGCAAATTATACTTTGGCAGATTACTGCTTTTGAATACATCTGCATACATCGATAGAGGAGTTACATACTTATATAAAAATCGCATCTAAACAATCAGAGGTATGGAAGATATACTTTATATGACACCAATCTAAGTGATTTTCACCGCTATGTGATCGGTATGTAAACCGGTAACTCAATTTATTGGGTTTAGTTTCGTACATAAAGGAGATATATGGCAAAAACTGGTATCTTAACAATCAGTGCTATAGGAGATAAAGCTTATACAGCATAGATTTTGATGATTTTCTCAGTAGAATTTGTATTATTATTTATAAAATATCTTACGAAATTTATCGGTTTTAGCTGTTCAAATAAAGAAGTTTTACAGTAAAATCCCATATCTGAACAATCAGATGTATGGAAGATATATGTTGTAGTCATCCGATCCTTGTTATTTTCACTGTAAGTATTCTGTTAATAATGAGTGAAAATGGTGCGAAATTTCAAGTTCCTAGCTGCATAAATGGAGGAGTTATGATAAAAGACCTCATATCTGAACAATCAGTTGTATGGGGTCTGCAGGTTATAGTGTCCCGATCTGTGTTATTTTCACTGTAAGTCTTCTGTTGATAATGAGTGAAAACAGCGCGAAAAATCATGGTCCTAGCTACATAAATGGATGAATTATAACGAAAAATCTCATATCTGAACAATACGTTGTATGGGAGCTATAGGTTATAGTTACCCGATCTTTTTAATTTTCACTGTAAGTTTTCTGTTGATAATTATTGAAAACAGTGCGGAATTTCATGTTCCTAGCTATATAAATGGAGGAGTTATAACGAAAAATTTTATATCTGAACAATCAGTTGTATGGGAGCTATAGGTTATAGTGACCCGATCTTTGTAATTTTCACTGTAAGTATTCAGTTGATAATGGGTGCAAGTATTGCAAAACTTCATGTTCGTAGCTGCATAAATGGAGAAGTTATAATGAAAAATCTCATATCTGAACAATCAGTTGTATGGGAGCTATATGTTGTAGTGGTCCGATTCTTCCGGTTCCGACAAATGATTAATACATTATAAAAATACACCCACCTACCAAATTTGATGCGGATATCTCGAAAACTGAGAGACTAGATTGCATACAAACAGACGGACAGACGGACAGACGGAGAGACGGACATGGCTAAATCAACTCAGCTCGACGTTCTGATCATATAAGTATACATTTTCATGGGTCTATCTCTTTTTGTTCTGGTACTTACAAACATCGGACCAAAGTTATAATACCATTTCATGCTCATGAAAGGTATAAAAAAAACATATGCGCGCACACTGAATGCCAATGATGCGAGAAATCTGAGAGTACGACGGTGATTCGGCGAAAAGCAAATGTTGACTGATTAATGGGATTATGGAAAAGGGATATTGCAAAAAGGCTAACGAATGAAAAATGTGATTTAATGAAATTTTAACGAGGCAAAGGAGGCAGACTCAATGACTGATTTGTGGAAAATGGGCAACGTAGAAGCAATGACAAACGCAACTATACTACCTAAAAGCGCACGCACAATAACGCTTGGGGCGCACAAACACCGCGCAGCTGGAAAGCAAGCGCCAAACCGTTTAATGGCATTTCAAAACATTCCGCACATAAATACACTCGTCGGTATCTGTGTGTGTTATAGTATCGATTGTTGTCCATTAGCCAGGCAAATCGAAGTAAACAAGCGCAGCAAATGAGAGTTAAGCGGGAAGGGGTAGTAGGGCCCAAGAGGATGCCCACTGTAGTATGACACGGCCATTAAGTGAAGTGGAAAATTGTGCGTTGCTGCTGCCAACAACGAATGATTGCTGGTTAATACCTTTCAAGCGTGGATGGTGCTGCTGCTGCTCCTGCTGTTATTTTTGCGCGTTATCGCATTGTGTCTGCGTATTGGCGTAATTCGCGTCGTATTTGTGTTTGTCAGAACAAAGTAATGAATAACACAAAAAACGGGAGGGCGTTTCGGCTATGCCAGCGGGTAGGTGGCAGCGTGTATTAAAGCTTTTGTAGTTAATCTTTAAAACCATTGTTGAGAAATTGTTGCTGTCCTGAATAGGTAAAGGAACAAATTGTAAACTAGAGTAAAATGGGTGGTTAAGCTTAGACAAAGATAACAGCGCACGAAGGGAATGATTGGATAATTTCACAAGATTTATAGTCTTAACAGAAACATAAAATATGTTAGTGCACTAAAGAAATTTAAAGATCGAGGAAAAACGATAGAAATACATTTTTAATTAAGATATCTCTGTACCTCAGAGAAGTAATGCCACATAGATAACGGATTTCTCTTTTAAATGACCCATACCCGTAAAAGAGCAATTTGTGAAAAGAAAATCTAAACCGCTGAGAATACTTGGGTGTGTGGTAAGAGATTAAGAATAATTGTAAATAATATAATTCGGAAGGTGCAAACAGCCTGATTGAGTATACAAGCAAATTGCTACTTAATTTTATGTTTTTTTTTTTATAAAGCGATTGAGAAGTGCTTAACCTGTAAGTCGCTCGAATACGGAGCGTTGCATACTTTAGGGCTTACTAAACTTAAGCGCAATTGTGAAGGGCGATTTTTAGGTTCTTTCTAGACTTGAAAAGCTTTTAATTTCATTCACCCTAAATTTGTTTTGCCTATCTACCAGTTAAATTTTTCGTCACAGAGAATTATGTTAGGGAAAGGTAAGGATAGGTCAAAGTTCTTGCTACTTTTCTTGACGTAGAATAGTACAAGAAGCATATTTTTGGTTTATAGGGAGTTTGAGTGAACTTTTGAAGCCGAATTTTCAATCTCGCATACAAAGCAGTCTGTTGGTGTTCTGACTATATTTTCTGTGTATGCGCCTCCGTTAAAAATAGGGCTTGTCCTTAGCATATATGTCCTCTATTCAAAATTCAGCATTTTATATTCTATATTCTAAACTCAAGATTCTAAATGTAATACTCTATATTCTTATATTCTATATCCTCTATTAAAAATCAATTCCTTGTCTTGCGTTCTATGTTTTTAGTCCTATTCTCCTTGATCTTTGTGTAATGCTCTAGGCTCTCCCGTGTATGTTGTGTGTTCATATATATTCTATGTTCTATGTTCTATATTATATACTCTATGTTCTGTTTTATATATTCTATATTCTGTACTCATTGATCTATATTCTTTGTTTTATATTCTATGTTATACATGTATTCTATATTTTAAATTCTATATTCTATACCTAGTATTCTATATTCTATATTTTATATTCTAAATTTTAAATTCTATATTCTATACTTAGTACTTTATATTCTATATTTTATATTATATACTCTATATTCTTACATTCTATATTCGATATTACATATTCTATATTCAAAATTTAAAATTCATATTTCAAAATTCAGCATTTTGTATTATATATTCCATGATAAAAACATAGCAAGGTATAACCGTTCTCTCAATTTGTCGGCCATGATTTTTTTTTGAAGTTTGCCAACATTTTAAAATCATATAAAAGTGAAAATAAAAAATTGAAATTGTTCGAAATTGTTGTTGCTTGAGATTGAAAATGAAAATGTGTGTGTGAGTTTGTGAGTAAATTTAAAAATTAAATTGTTTGCAAACGTCAAGAATTTCAAAAGTGACTCTCAGCGGTTCTACCTTACTATATTTTTATCATGATATATTCTATATTCCATATTCTTTGCCTTCCGTTCTATGTTTTTAGTCCTTTGTGTAATTCTCTGGGCTCTCCCGTGTTTGTTGTGTGTTCAATGTTCTATGTTCTATCTAAATATCATTCTCTAGCGCAATGGTAAATGAGGCTGTGAAAAGTAAAAGCAGTCCATTTTATTGTCGTAAAACTTTACTGTTATTAGCGGCTTTACCTTTAATGTTTTCCTACATATGTACTTGGTTATATCTCTCCACATACATATGTACATATATATGTATGCACTCGTACGTAAGTTTGCATTGCAATTAATTTTGTTGCTCATACGACCCGGCGTACGGCACTGCGACTGTGATTCGATTTGCTGTTGTTGTGCATAAAGAAAATATATGACTTTTTAATTGGTACAACAAGTAAGCATTTCACGTACTCATTCAAGAACTACCTCCATTCGCCGCGTCGAGCACCGTTAAGGCAGAAATCAGTCACCGTAAAGGATGGGATGCGTAATGAGAATGGATAAACAGGAGAGTGGCCAAGTAATTATGAATTTATATGCTTACACTTCACTGCTTTACACGTGCATACGTCAGTATATATGTACAAATACATTGTTGACCTCATATAATATCTTCTCTAGCGGCTATATTTCCCGGCTATGAGTTGCTGGTCGCAAATATTGCTGGTGTGCTCCTTTTTCATTCTTCTTCACTGCTTCCGTCTCGATCTCTCACCATTTTCGTTTGCCGCTCGCATAGCCTTAGTCCTTCCATGTGATTGCTTATCGAGCTTTTGTGACTTGCTAGCAGTTCTACGAGATAGCTGTATGTATATTTCTGTTTAATTTCAACGCGCAAAAGAAGGCCACTGGGTTATGTTTAATTTCGCTGCGGTCGTGTGGCTTTAATGCTGGCTGAGCTGTGGACTTGTGCAAATTTAAACGCTGCAGTGGCTCGCTGTTTTCTGCTGTCTTTTATGGTAAATATATGTACATATTTATTTTTAAAATAAGTTCATAAAATTATTGAAATATTATGACTAAAGGAGGCGTAGTTTACACGAGATGCTGATACTTATACTATTTATTTTAATCGCAAATTTTCTAAGTACGGACAATAGCACAGATTCATCTTCAGCAAAAAGAGCCCTTAGCTCTTAGTCTTAAATTCTATTGAAAGTTATACGTGTTTCTTTTTATATTTTAGCCAGTGGAAGCATTATAATTATCCGCGAATCTATTCAAAATTATTTACACAACGACGTTAATGTCTTTTTTTGTGTCCGGCAGGCCTTCCAATTATTTTATTACTGACCCCCATTTGCTTCAACAGAACCTTTACGCCATTCTTTTAAGACGCGAAAATTCCATTAAGACCATTGCATAAACTTCAACCGGAAAACAATCAGTACGTGACTACGCCAAGCCATGCAGAAGGATCAAATGGACGCGCAATCAAGCCTTTGCGCGAAGAGAAAGAGAGACGTACAAAAGCAATGTTCACACACGAGCTACAGTGCCGTGAACATGCACAGTAATATACATCTGAGGTCATTTGGTATGAAAGCGCATGCAATTCGGCGATGCTCACAATTTTTGTTGCTTAATTCCACCATTGCAAATGCGTGGAAAATGTGGCAAGGCTCAGCGCACTAGTCCGCATTGCAATAATTTGGATTTAAACGGGCAAATTATTATGCTTTTTTTTTTGTATCTACGCAGCGTGAATTTCTTGCTGTGGAGAGTCGCAACATACGAGTATGTATGTATGTATATATGTAGTTGCATTACCACTGCATACGTAAAATTAGAGTTATCACTACATAATAGCAGTTTGGGAATTTTTGATGAATTAAAAAATTAAAAGTGATTAAAAATAGGCTGGGCTGCTAACACCGTGCGACAAAAACAAAAAAAAAGTTCAAAACACACGAAATAATCGATATAATCGCAAAACTATGGGCCAAATATAGTAAAACTGCATTTTTAATTTTCCAATCTGACGTCAGGATATTTTTAATAAATTAAATTAATAAAAATTTTATTTAAAAAAATATTAAAGAAACTCAGTGCAATATGGGTACCAAATGCGAGAGAAAGTTATATAGAATTAAAAAAAATAAAGTTTTTTTTGTTTACAAGGACGAATATGTATTTTGAAAATGCGCCTTTAATAAATTTTATCTTTTTAAGTTAATAAAGTTTGCAGGACGAATATCGATGATGAGGTCGTGTGTAAATTAGTCCTCAAACAATAATTTTTTCCAAAAAAAAATGTAAAATTTTCAAGGATATTTAAGCATAAAATATGTAAAGAACATTTTCCGCACCCATTGGTCCTTATTTTCTCTTTTATATCATACCTTTATTGTTATCCTCTACATTGCACCGAAGTTTTTAAATAATTTTTTTTTAAATAATCATGTTTTCTAAATTTTTAAAAATCCTGACATCAGAGAGAAAAACTAAGTACGCAGTTTAACTATAATTTTCCCATAGTTTCGCGAATGAGTTCATGTTTTGTGTGTGTGAAATTTACTGTCGCACATCAAAAAGAAAGATTTGTTCGGCGAACGAAACTTTATAATTTTAGCTGATTTTGGTTTCTTAACTCACAAACTCCCAAGAAGAGGCGGTGAAATTTCTGAAATCATCTACATACATACACACATACATATGGCTACTATATTCCGGAAGGAAATTTATCCGCGAGCAATTTTATCTGCTGTTATTGAATTTCTCTTCATTTGGTTTTTTGCTTTCACTCCCAATTCTGTTATTGGTCTAACTTACGCTGTTAAGAAAAAGGCTAGCCATGTTAACAAATAAATATTACTTTTGCCCGCATCACAGAAGGCTGCTTAGTTACAACTAAGTTATACATTTTAAGTCCTTTGGGGTATTTCTTTATATTTTTAACCGACTTCCAAAAAAGGAGGAGGTTATCAGTTCGTCGGAATATTTTTTTTTTTTTTTTTATGTACGTTACCGCATAACTTTGGATCACGTCAACCGATTTCGATAATTCTGGTTAAGATCCGATCAGCGGATCATGAGATATATATATTTATATATTTTTTTTTTATATGAGAGTTGAAGTCGTTTTTTTTTTGCTAAAAATTACTTGTTCAATGAAATAGTTAAAGTTCACTTGGCTGATCCATGAAGTCTCACATATGTATGTATGTACATTAGACTGCATCACTCCCCATACAAAAAAAATCGGTACTATTTTTCCATTGGAATTATAAAATCTATTATATTTTAAGACGTCCACAAAATATTTCGAAAAAATATTAAGGCTTACGTGAGCCGGACTGATTTGAAAATACCTCCAAAAATATAGTTTTTTTATGAATAAAATAGTTTCTTAAAGATTTTTTTTTTGAAAAAATCACCTCAAATG